TGGATCTCTTCCAATCAGTCAGCCAGATAGTTGTCTTCCAAATTTCTTGGCAGAGATGAGTGAGTGCCTCCTGTGCCGCCTCACTTTCTTGTTTATAGATAAAAGGAGCTCTGGTAGTGTAGTGGTTACGAATTGGGCTGAGAACTGCAAGGTCAGCAGTTCGAACCTACCAGCTGCTCCATGGAGAAAGATGAGGTGTTCTGCTCCCATAAAGATTTACAGCCTTGGAAACCCTGTTCAGGGTCGCTATGGGTCGAAACCGATTCGACGACACTTAAAAATAACAACATTTATAGATAAAGCTGAGGCGCCATTGAAATTAACTTAACACTTCTTGTCAACTTCTATAAGTTAATGAGAGTCCTAAAGCCTTCCGGATATCAAAGAGGCAGTGGGACAGGGTGAGAAGAACGTAGAATCAAGAGAAAAAGGGCTGGACACTAGATCCTTATCTGGTGTACTGGAGTAACTGGACAGATAGCTTCCTGTTCTACACGATGTAAGAAATGATACTGACCTCACAAGGCACAATTGATGAAATGCCATCCACATTTTCATTGATAATGTCAATTTCCACATACATAAGTTATCAATAGATAACATATAAATCAAGCTTTAGAGCCCAGTAATAAATAACCACCTTAGAGCCCCACAATGCCCTGTACTACTCCCTTGTAGCTGTGGATGTGAGCTCACAGCAGAGGACGGTCATGAGGCATCAAAAGAACTGATGATGAAGAGAACAGATAGGAGCAAGAACAAACTCCGGCATCTAGAAGTCCTCACTAACACAAGGAGATCATTATTATTACTGATGACACCATCCCAAGCAGGTGAACTGAACGTCCACCTATTGCCTTTTATGAGATCTGGTCAGCAGGATTGCTGAATGTTACAACTGATAGTCACTAGTGCACAGTTACGAAGCTGGGAGAAGTCTTCCAAAACAAGAAAGTTTCCCCAAAACTAGATGGTAGTCTTGGTGTGGTGCTGTAGGATCAGCACTGGATTATGAACCAAAAGTTGGCAGTTCAAATCCACCAGCTGCTCCTTGGATACCCTATACAGGGTCTCAGTGAGTCTTGGTAACTGACATGATTGCACTTAACAACAACATTCTGCTCCAATGATTTCTGTTTTTTATGTACAGAAAAAACAAAAACAAAAAGGGCTGACCTTCACATGACAGTATTTGCACTTCCAATAATGGCTGATGAAGAAATGTTTAATGGCCCCAGGAAACTATGCATTCATTAATGCTTACAGAAGATTTTCTACTGCAGGTGTCCTGATAGAACTCACCCATGTTGAAGACGAGCACCTTTATGCATGATACCAAATGACTCCGATCTGTGGAACACTGCAGTAACTCAGACACCCACAGCCTGGGAACTGTTGCTTTATAAGTTAAATTCTAAAGAACACGCAACATTCTCACTCACTTATCTTTGTTCTAGTATAATTCCTCATCATCGACAAATCTGGGTTGGAAACAACTCAACAGCACTTAACAACAACAACGTAAATCGGGTGTCCTGGTGGATAAGCACTGGACTTCTAACCATAAAGCCGAAAGTTCAAGTCTATCAGTCACTCCTTGGAAACCTTACACAGGGCTGCTATGAGTTGGAACAGACTCGACGGCACTTAACAACAACAACATAAATTTGGAGTCGTGGTGTGCAACTGTAGGATGAGCACTGGACTGCTAACCTCAAGGTCAGCAGTTCAAACCCACCAGTTGCTCCTTGGAAACCCTATGCAGGTTCTCTATGAGCCAGAACCAACTCGACAACACTTAACAACAACATAAATCTACCAGCACCACCAGATATAAATAAACTGGGAAAAAAAATTAGAAAAAATATTTTCCCTACATAATGTAGTTTTTTAAAACCGAAATTTCCTCCCTACCTCCCTCTTAAGCTAAAAGCTTGGAGAGATACTTGCAAATCTCAGAAAAGCTATTGGTGCCACAGCTGGCAGCCGTGATCTAGCTTGGCGAAAACTCATCTTTTCTGCTCTAACTAGTACCTGGGTTAGTCAACCAATCAATTAAACCAAGAAATACAACCTCTGATTAATGATGCTTCCGGGGATAAAGTCTTCTAATGAGGAAGTCAACAAGGAGGGAAAGATAAAGCGAATGAAGGCGTGGAACAGGTGAACCATTGCTGGTGCACACCTTGGAGCTTTGCTGTTGTCATTGTCATGTGCTCTGGAGTCTGTCCCAACTCACAGCAACCCTAAATAGGGGTTCTGAGGAGCAGCTGATGGGTTTGAACTGATGACCTTGTGGTTAGCTGTTCGTGCTTATCCTGCAGTGCCAGATGATTCTAAAGCGGCACATGCTGGGTGAGGACTGGGTATTATGACTTTTATACTGCATCCAGAGAAAACAGGCCAGACCTTCTTCTACCTCGATAAAGAGACACCTGACCCAGCTTTTCTCCAGTAGTGACCCAGGAAAGACCTTCATCAGAATCATTCCGGAAGAGCCACTAAAACTGTGATTTCCCATCGCCCCAGATTTCTACGATGGAAATCTGTGGGGTACAGCCCTGGGACTTGCATTTTGAAACAAGGCCTAAGGGCAATTTTTGCACATCAAAATTTAAGAACCATTGTTTCTTGTCCTTTCATGGTTTTTTCTCATTTCCTGAGAATCTTTGAGGGCAGAAGTATCTCTTCAAAGACTTAGTGTCTCCTCTGTCTGATCTGAGCATGGGTCTGCTTTTCCCCCTGTTGACTTGAAAGAGCAGACTGGAGAAGAATATCTGCAGCTTGGTGATGTGGTAGAAGGGCATTCCCAACAGAGGGAAGCAGAGGACTAAGAGGATAAAAGTTAGAATGTTCTCGGCATGTGAGGGGAACAGGGTACACCTGCGTCTGGCTCAGGTGCCTGGATGGTTTCTAGGTAAACATAGAGAACACACACATGTTAAGGTTCTGTGCATTCTGCATGTTAATGCAACTAGGGAGATCATGCTATCATGGCTGTAACTTTTAGTGTTTCACATGTTGCTTTTAAGTGCCCTTGACTGAACTCATAACAGCCCTGTATAGGACTTCCGAGGATGTAAATCTCTGCAGGACCAAAGGCAAGAGCCTTATCTTTCTCCCACCGATCAGCTGGTGGGCTCAGACTACTGACCTTGTGATTTGCAGTCCAGTGCTTTTCCTACAGAGGCACCATGCCCCCAGTGTTTTACACAAAATATAATTATTATTTCATGGACCAAGAAAAGAACATTTCCACATTTAAACTCTGGAAACAGATAGAAGCAACATCTATGATGCACTTATGAGGAGTCTAGGTAGACCAAGCTTCTGGGACTGGCTGTAAATCTACAGGTTGATGGCTCGAGTAGAACTAGCAGCTTCACCGAAGAAAGGATGGGCAAACTGCTCTGGAAAGATTACAAACAAATCAAACAAAACTGCACCCTGTGGAGCAGTTCCACTCTCTAACACAAGGGGGGCTATACTAGATACTTTACATATCTGATGTTCTTTACTTCACCAACTTTCCCTTTAATATTATTTCCCTTAGTGTGAAACCCAAGCCAGCAGACATTATAAGAACACTTGTCCTAAGTCACCCAGCAGCGATCGGGGAATGATTGCCTCTTAACTCCTGTTGTTGGTTTCTTCTCTCCTCTAATTCCTCACAGAAACTACCCAGTCACCAGAATGAAAGCGTTTCATTGTCTGAGTGGCACATTTGAGAAATGAGGAATTGTTGGTGCTCTGACTTTTCATCCTCAGGCCTCTTAGCCTGATGCTCTCGAAAGCTCTGTGAGCTTGGTGGTGTAATCTCTGCCAGGCTGTGGAAATGAGGCTTAGTGAGGAAAAGCGAGCGCCGCCATTAGCCAGCTGTGCAGCCAGATGTTCAGCCTGCCAGCGCTTCCAAGGCCGAGTCCGAGTCACAGTTGGCAGTGCAGAGTCGGACTCCTATCAGGGATCAATGGGGATTGACTGGCCGGTAGGCTCTGGACCTTTTCAAAGGGGAAAAACTGACCCACGGCGCTCTGTAGGGCTTCTCCCTCGCAAAGCCAGCAGTGCACAGGTTGAACCATATGAAACTGGCAGTCTTGTTTGACCCACAAAAGCAGCAATTTCTTTGCCTAATAGGAAAACTCCAGGTGTGCTCTCAGAAATTCTCTGGTCTTAATTCTAGAAGACAGACAACTCCTGGTCACAACATTTTCCATACTTTAAAAAATGTCAGCATACAGAACAAGGACAACGCTGATTTAAAAGAGCTCTGAGCAATTTCTTACCCAGCACCTTGTTTTATCTTCACAATCCTGTAAACAGGAAGCCACATTAAAAACTTGCATTTTTCCCTCAAGTGCTTAAAAGTCAAAAAAGACTCTCTTGTGTCAGACCATTTGTTTTAGCTCTAGATTTTGTGAATTCACTTTCAAAAATAAAAAAACCCCAAATCAACCAGCCAACCACCCAAGCCACCCTAACTGATGGAGGATGGCAAAAAAGCAGTTGTCTAGTCTTGGCCTCGGGATGAATCCCTCCCCATGCTAACGATGGTAAGCCACCATCCCATGAATAAGCCCACTTAGGTCCTTCTGATACCAGCTGCAGGGAGGAAATGAAAGTGACCAGGAAGCCAGGCTCTGCAGTGGTTCCAGCATGGGCATCCGATCCAAGAGCCCTTCATCCATTAGCCAAACAGCAGCACTTTCAAACCCAGCAGGAACCAGAGAGTCCCTGCTGAGAGACAGAAATTAACTTTGAGAGGAGATAATTCGTCTTTCGATGGTTGTCATATTGAGGTGGTGGAGAGCCCGAGCCAGGCTCTTGACAACACAGCCACTCATAAAACAAAAGCTGATCAGGGAGCCAGGTGGCACCGAAGACTGATGCTCTTTGTCTTGCTTCCTCTGGGACATGGACTTGAAATGTAACAGGAGCTGTGATTTGCTTCTAGTGACTGCGCAAACAATGGCTAGAAATTAAGATGGAGCTCAACTGCAAGGTCCAGTGAGACGTGTGGGAAGAGGTCTTTGCAAAATAAACTAGTGTTGTTGGGTGAGGTTTTGCAAGGTTTGGGGGAGAAGAGTCAGTATCCACAGGATGCCCATGATGGCAACAAAGAGACCTGTTGGAGTGGAGTTGGCTGGCTGTCACAAAGTAAGTGACTAGAAGCAAGTTCAACTAGAGACAACCTACTACTCAGAACAGAAGATGCAAAGACACGTCCAGGTCGGTGATGCTAGTTTGACTAAACTGGGAATCACTTCATGTGATTGAGTTCGGGGTAATGGTACAGGAAGCCTCTGACGCCAGCAACCGAAGAGAACACCATTTCAGAAGCAACGTTTATCAAGTGTCTGCACAACATCAAGTTCCTATCCTCAAGGATGGGTGATTCTAAAAGGCACTCCATGCAGCTTCTTCAGAGCCACTGGACAAACAAAATGAAGTCTGTTTCATCCAGGGCTATTAGAAGACGATCCATCCAGAGAGACAGAGTGGAGATATTATCTTTAAAGTACATTGTCTATGTTTCCATTGAGTTTCTAGTTTTTGATCAGAACCTATCAGGCAAGGAAGTTGAATCAGGAGACGTGAAGAAGCTTGAAGACGCAGAATGGAAACTGCTTTGAGAATTTCAGACAGGCCACATGGATTGGTCCAGGTAGTATTAGTTTGATTTTATAGATCCAGAGGGGAGTGTGGTGGCCCTGTTGAAGAAACCCACCAATCTCTCAACAGAAGGATGAAGATTTCTGCTCCTGCAAAGATTTATAGCCTCGGAAACCCTATACAAGGTTGCTGAGTCGGAGTTGACTCCATAGTGTCTAATAACAATAATATATCAGGAAACTAAGACTCAAGGAAACTGTCTTGTAGGTGGAACAAATGGTTAATGCACCTAACTGCTAAGGGGAAGACTAGTGGGTCAAGGCCACGCAAAGGTGCCTGGTTGTCGTTAAGATCCGTTGTGTTGGTTCCGACTCATAGCAACCCTAGATGGGTTTCCGAGGAGTGGCTAGTGGGTTTTGAACTGGTAATCTTATGGTTAGCAGTCCTATACCAGGATCCCCGGAGGTGTCTTAGTTCTGAAAAATCTGCCACTGAAAACTTTATGAAGCACAGTTCTACTCTGTCAGAGATGGGGCTGCTGTAAATCAGAAGTGACCCGATGGCAGCTCGTTTGTGGATTTGTAAGGTCATAGAGCTGGGGAGTGACAAGTTTAGAATTCGAGTCCATGTCTAATCCCAAAGTCCCCTGCTCTGTCCTCTTTTAATGATACCAATCCAGTTTCTTAGAATCGATATTCATGTACGGTTTTAGTTTATAAAGTGCTTTTACAAGATTATTGTAAAACAATTTCCACCATCCTTTGCTGGTAAAAACAGCTGATTGGGCAGTCTTTCAAGAAAGGAAGAAGGATTAATTTATATTACCAACATCAGCTAGGGGGCAGTACTGGGTTCCGCTTCCTGCAAATTCGAACGACTGGGAAGAATGAAGGGAATCCTAACAAGAAACGAGCTAGGAGTACACCAAATCTCCAGCTGATGGTCTGAAGTATAAGGCTTCTTCTTTAATTAATGCCAACAGGCATGTTCCTTTTATTATTATTTAATTGGTTTCTAGGCAGTACAGGAAGTTAGAGTGCGGAAGAATACACCCAAACAGAAAAAATGACTGAGAGGGACTGTTTGAAGGCAAGGGTGGGAGGGAACAGAAAGGATCCCGAAGTTGAAAGTGCCTCGGGATGCCAGTTTCCTCTTTTTGCTGATGGCTGCACTTGTACACTGAAAATAAAGTATCTGAGTAGACGAAAGGGGTGGATTGAATTCCCGAGGTTCCGATCGCCTTCTTTTTATCAGCAACGATCACAAGGGCTGTCAGACTATTTTTTTTTTTAACTTCTGAGCATGTGAAGTACTCGATTTAAAACTAATTATTAAAGCACTTTCATTTTCCCCTTTAATCGTGGAGTCCAGACAGAGAAGGGTAAAGAGAAATATCAGGAGATCCGAGAGACAGGGTGGGTGTGGGTGGGTGGGCTTGAGATGCAGCAAGATGGATGATGAGTGTCAGGAGAAACAGCAGCAAAACGGTGCTGCTGGTCTCTCACCATGAGGCCTCTCCCCGCAGTCAGGTGGGATGGACCAGGATGCACTGCTTTTCTGAGCAGCCAGTGTCTATGGCTTCCTGCTAAGGCCATGGGCTCCTGGCTAAGGCTGCTGCCTGCTTGTGTGTGACATCTTCTCGTGGGTTCCCTACTCTGACTCATAAAGCAAATGTACATAAAGAATACAATGTCTCAGGCCAGCCCGCTTCAGGCATCTGGAGACTGTGTTCTTGCTCTCCTAGAAGGGAAAGGAGGGAGGGTAGAGTGAGAGTTCAGGTCCAAAGTAGGATTGCACACAGATGTGCTTCTCAGTTAACCTGAACCACCAAGTTCTTCTTAGGCCAAACCGACCAGAAGAGGTGGGCGATGCTTCTAGAATAGGATCTCTGGGCCCCAGAGATGGATATAACATGAGCATTGGTAAGGGCCCAGAAAACCTGTGCTGAGCGGTGCCCAGTGTAGTCAGGATGTCTGGGGAATGGCGCCATTTGCAAATAGTTTCCAGGACCTCAGGAGCGCTAGGCCTGATGGGGAGAGGAACTCAGAGCAAAGAAAGCTTTTCTTTCCCAATAAAATAGAGGTGATGGTTATCGGAATAATAATGAGATTTTGACAATGACAATTGTGATGATTAAGGTTTTGTGTCAACTTGACTGGGCCAAGACTCTCAGTTAGATATACTCAACCCCCGTGATAAGATCTGTGATGAGCCGCCAGTCATTTAAAAGGAAGTTTCTGCAGACATCCGTCTAGATGGTGAACTAGGCAGACTCACTACATGGATCCTCTCTTCAACAAAGATAGGAGAGGCAAAGTAAACATACGCAAATGAGAACTCTGGCATTCGGAAGGAAGGTTAGAGAGGTAGCTGGATTGCCAGCTGGGAAGAGAGGCCAAGAAGGGATGGTGAGAGAGAAAGCCTTACTGTTGAATGGCTGGCTAGATGCAGCTCGGCCATTTTGGGTCAAAGGAGACCTGGCCGAGCAGATTGTGTAGGTGATGGAAAAGGTGTGATTTCTTCTTATTCCCCACACTCCCTGTGGACCAGAAGTGTGGCGAGCTCCCCAACGCAACCACTCCCAGAGCAGACCCCACTCTTTGGGAGTTCAGAATCAGGTGGCTGGGAGCCACACCAGTGTGAGGTGCGGGCTGGCTACGCTGCTTTCATGTGCTGCTTTGGGGCCTGCATTCAGGTGGGCTC